TCCAATGGGCAGGGTCAGTCACTCAGGTATGGTACAGCAGGGCAGGTCCAGCTGAAGGGGGGTTGCTGGGATGGGTTGTTTGTGGCACGTACCAGGACTGACATTGCGGACCAGGAATCAGTGCAGGGCAAGTTCCAGTAGGCCATGCCTGTGCTCCTTGGGAGTGTGATATTCAGCACACGGCAGTGGGTAGGAAGGAGGGGGTAGATTGTGATGTGTGGAGCTAAGATGGGTATGGGAAAGACAAGAGAGAGGAGAGAGGAATAGGAGCCCAAAATATAGCCACAAAGAAGAGTGCTAAGAGAGCTTGCTATTGGTGTTGAGAGATGAGAGACTGAGAAATAGGGAAAAACAAAAAGAAAAAGAAAAAAGAAAAAAATGAATAAATCAAGAAACTGGAAAGGAAGAAAGACCAAAAAGGAATAAGAGAGAGAAGAAAACAAACCACAGAAACAAAAAAAAAAGAAAAAAGAAATGCCCCCAGGGATGTCCCTGTGCGTCTGTGCAGAGTAAGGTAGTAGCTTCTAAGCCGTGTGGTACTGCCTGGCTAGAATGGGCTCCGAAGCCGAGAAGAGAAAAAGAAAACCAACAAACAAATCAAAACAGAACGAGTCAGAGCAAACAAACAAACAAAAAATCCCCGAGTGTCCCAGCAGCGTGGTGGCACTGGCAGGGAAGCAATTTCACAGTTGAGTGGTGTTTCGCAGCCTTTCAGGAAGAAGGAAAGATGGCGCATGGAGCCAGGTATTTGAGAGAAAGGAAGGGGAGGTGGTGAGAGGTAAGGAAGAAGTCTATAGAAGCAGTAAAAAGCAACACCAGCAGCGAACATAAGGCACTCATGGAGCCGGCCAGTGCAGGCAGGTGGAATCCAAGCGACACTGGGGTGAAGCTGTTACTTCCCGGCCAAGAGACTGTGGCTGCAGGAAGCAGAGGAGACTAAGTGGGGGTGAAGAATGGTGGGGTGGGAAAGCGTATATTGCTGGTTACCTGTTGTTCTGTCTCCTGCTGGAAGCTCTGTGAAGCTGCTTTCTCTTACCCCCTGTTCGCTAATCTCCGATAGGAGTGCAAGATGGTGGATCCGTGCAGCAGTAGCTGATAGGAGACCTCTGCATGTATCTCTCCTCACTCTCTGTTCTCAGTCAGTTTCTTATTCCATTCAGTGCTTGGCTGAGTTCTTTATCTCTTCATTTGATGCTTAGGGTTTCAGGGTTGACATGTGACTCTCTTTGACTTAGTTTTTCTGATCTTTGCTTTTTTCTCCCATTTCTTTAAAGCATCTAAAATATATTTGAAACCAAACCTCCATTATCTTTATTTCAGTTCCCCTTTCCTGTCAATGTAGATAGTTTGGTGTTATAAATTACTCAGAGGGACCCTCCCTTTATGTTTATTTATAGGTAAAAACATGTTAATTCTCAAATCAAAGTTGAGTTATATAGCAAGATAACAGTACAAATGGGAATTAGAAGTAAAGCAAGTGAGAATGATTTTAATTTTGAATTTATTTAAAAGCATTTATTTAAAGCCTATAGAGATAATTAAAATAAAAAGTCTTAAATTCAAAAACCTTTGAGTGGGAAAATCCTGGAAAGTGGTAACATCATAGGAGGCCCAAGATAGTAATTGAGAAGGCAGAAGGGTAAGCTGGTTGATTGATAGTAATATTCTAACACTGAGGTGGAAAAAAAACCCAACTCTCAGCATGATTCAAATGAATCAATAACTAAAATATTAAACTGAACTTGAATCACTCTAGTACTCTAGATTGATTATAAGTTGAAATAAAGAATAAAATAGATGGTTAAAGGAATAAAACAGATTTCTTGAAAGAGAAAAATTATACAGACATGATTAAGTTATAGCAAAGTTCAAGGATATTATTGTTTATTGTACCAATTATCAATGCACTCCCCAGTTCATTTATTACTTATTACTTTATTACTGGTACTAATCAGTTTCCTCCTCTATAAAATGGCCATAAAAAAGCATTCCTAACATATAGGATTTGGGAAGGACTAGATGAGGTAATATATAAAAAGCCCTTAACATAATTTTTATACATAGTAAATATTAACTAAATGGTACAGTTTCTGATATTCTGATCAATGTATATTTACTACTAGGACTACGTAATTGGTATAATTCTAATAAAAATTTTTTATTCACTAAAACAAAGATCCTTCTAGTCATACATAAGTGAATGAGAATAGACACTGTTATCCTAGTTATTTTTGGGTTTTTTTAATGTTTTAATAAATCAGACTGGTCTTCCTTCCAGTTAGTCTTAAGTAGTGAAGTTTTATTGTGTGTTGTATTTTCACATGTCACATTTAATGTCAAGAACTCAGATGTAAGCATTATTTTCACAAAGAAAGGAGCCCTGGTGGTGCAACAGTTAAGCCCTTGGCTGCTAAATGAAAGGTTGGCAATCTGAAACCACCCAGTGGCTTCATGGGAAAAAGACCTGATGATCTGCTCTATAAAGATTACAGCCAAGAAAACCCTGTGGGGTTGCTATAGTCAAAATCTGCTCAATAACACCTAACAACAACAGCAGCACTGGCAACAACATTTTACTTAAACTAAAAAGTTATTATTCTTTGCCAAAAAACGAACAGTAAAATCCAGAGGAAATATTACTTATCCTTTTTTCTCACTTTGTCTTCGCATGTTAGTCTTTAATAATAAACATAGTAAATGTTCCTTAATATACTTATCAGTATATAACTAATAAGAATATTAATAATAGCTAATATTTACTGAGCACTTATTATTTGATAGACATTATGCTAATAACATCACAAAATTATCCCATTTTGTTCACAAAACACTATAGTAGATGCTATCATTATTCCCAGTTTTATGATCGAGAAAGAGAGGCTCAGAAAAGGTAAGTTGTTTTCCCAGGGTCAAAGAGCTAGCAAGTGATAGAGCTGGAACTGAATACAGATTCAATTAACATCAAAACATTAACTCTTCACCACCACTATACTGAAAAAATGAAATTAAAAAAAAAGGAAAGGAGACTAATATAGAAAAGTATTACATGTGAAAGGAGTGTCTAAAATAAAATGGTGACCTTTCTTAGTTAATAAAGGCAGTGTCAGTGTTCTGATTTTCTTCATAATGCTGCTTAAGCTCATGAGAAACAAATATGTAGAAAAGAATAGATTAGAAAAAGAATAGGATAGGAATCCCAAGCTGGAAGAGAGTAGAGAATAGGACAGCAGAACAACATAATAAGGTATTAAAAAGGATGTGCTGGTGAAAGGAAAAGGAGCTCTGGTTTCCCAGTAGTTAAGCACTGGGCTGCTAACCAAAATGTCGGCGGTTCAAAGCCACCAGCCACTCAGGGTGAGAAAAATGTGGCAGTCTGCTTCTATAAACACTACAGCATTGGAAACGCTATGGGAGCAGCTCTGCTCTGTCCTATAGGGTCACTATGAGTCAGAATTGACTTAACAGCAACTGTTTTTTTTTTTTTTTTTAAATGGGTGAAAGGAAGCAAATAGGTGAGAATATGTTTTTGGTCTTTTTTTTTTTAAGCAATAAGAATTGAGAGAGTGGTGTCTGTCAGACCGGAAGGGTTAGAAATAGGAAAAGTTATTAAAATCAAAGTTATATTTCAGATCCAATACAAATATTCTATTATTTTACTCCCCATCATGAACGATCAGTGCTAAAATGAAAGTTTTGACCACAAGTACAATGAAAAGATTTGTGTATAGTTTCATTTTTTTAAAAAATGAGATTAATTTTCACATGAGATTCTAGCAACTGAAAAGTATCAAAACCATTTTAATTTAAAATATTAAATATACCAAACTACTTAAAAGATCTTTAACTAAGTTCATAATCATTTACTAATAAACTTTTGTATATAATTCAATGTGTGGTAAATATATTGATGTGTCTCTGATCTTTTAAGGCACATCTGTTCATATGCAAAACTGTGCAAACAAGAGAAGTGCCTAGAAAATTTCCCAACATGCATCAGGATGAGTTCTCAGTCCCAAGAAATCACTTTTAAGCATGTGGAACTAAACAGAGAACATTCCCAGACAAATCATTATTCCAAAGGAGTGCTGGATGTATAAGTGGCTCATGCACGACTTAAAAGATTAACCCAAAGTAATACACCCTATAACAAATCTGTTGCCATCAAGTCAATTCCAACTCATAGCGACCCTATAGCCCAGAGTAGAACTGCCCCATAGGGTTTCCAGGAGTGGCTGGTGGATTTGAACTGCCAACTTTTTGGGTGGCAGCCGAACGTTTAACCACTGTGCCAACAGGGCTCCAATACATCCTACCCGTTAAAGGCAGCCTTGGACATTTTCTCTTAGAGCAGCGTTTCTCAAACTCTTCACTATTGACATGTGAATAATGCTTTCTTATGAAGGGCTGTCTTGTGCATTGTAGGATGTTTACCAGCATCCCTGGCCTCTATCCACGTCAGTAGTAGGTGTCTCCAGACATTGCTCCTAGTTGAGAACCAGTCTTAGAGCATTTGTCATCTTAGTGGTTCCATTTGCAGTCATCCAGCATTCCCATTATAAACACCATGTTTTTTAAAAAGGCCTATTGTATAAGATACACCAAGAAGAATGGAGAGGTATGGGGATTGGGTGCGGATTAGCAG